AATAACGGAATATAAGTAAACGTGTGCGCTATAGCTTATTAACCGGTTCTGTTTCAGTTACTTTTGGTTAATTCTTGCACAGGTTTTGGTATGTTGTCGCGTCCTAACTCGCTGCACCCAGGGTCAACCGTCCGTTCGAACTGTTCGAACGAAGGGGTCGCATTTTGGTCGGAAGGGGGTCGCAATTTCGAGGACTGCCAGCCACAGGCGCGTGCGTGGCGTATCCGAGGGCAAGAATTGTTTGTGCAGACCGCATTAGATTCGATTAATTATGCACAGAGAGACAGTTTTAGGCAAATTACGGTGTTTTCCTTGAGGAATAAAGAACAGTTGAATGCATCCCTATGAAAGGTTTGACTTCTCGGGGCTGAAATTAAAGTTCTTCGGGACCTAATTTTCTGAGGACGATTCTTCCAGACAACGGTAAAACACATAAGAAAGCAGAAATCTCGTAGTCTTCAAAAATGTCTTCGCCCCTCCCCAACAAGTTCTTTGAAGGAAGTTATTATTGCTGAAAGCTCAAAAACTCGCATGTGCTGCTCAAAAACCTATGGGAACAAAATGTTCGAACGTGTGATTTTCTCGGAAAATGGATTTTGAAAAACGGTTTGGTGCTTGTTAGAAAGAGCAAATCCTGTACTTTCACCCCATGAAAAAAGTGCATCACAGAAATGAAAATGAAGTGAGTTATGCCCGCTTAAAGCCCAAAAACTCGCGATTTCAAAAAAAGTGTTCGGCAAAACCCCCCAAAATGTTCGAACGTGTGATTTTCTCGAAAAATGAACTTTGAAAAACGGTTTGGGGCTTGTTAGAAAGAGCAAATCCTGTACTTTCACCCCATGAAAAAAGTGCATCACAGAAATGAAAATGAAGTGAGTTATGGTCGCTGAAAGCCCAAAAACTCGCTTTTGCACGAAAAATGTTCGAACGGGACAATTTTTTGAAAAAGGGGACAATCACTAAACTTTTTATACTGTTTTGTTAGAGAAATATTTGAAGTTTCTGAAACTTTTTACAGATTTCCAAAATGTCGCATACGAAAGATTTTATGGGCCTTCAAAGTTGAAGGTGCGCCTTCTTAGAATTTTGGGTTTTCCACTTCTAACAGAAGTACTTTCCGGAGAGTTAGGCAATCCTTGTAGTTTTCTGAAAGCGCACCTCAGGCACAATCAAAATCTACCTCAACAAGTCAAAAAAATACGTCCCAAGAAAGTTATTCCCCTCTAAAATTTTTTCTTCGCCGCGTCCCGTTCTTCCAGCGCCCGGGTGATACCTGCCGCGCTCCAAGGCCGACGCGACGACGCGCAGACGCTTTCTGGCGCAACGGATTCATGTCTAGCACTCTTATTAACAAAAACAGGGGGTCGCAACTGGACCCCTCGAGAGCTAGGGGGTCGCAAAAATCCCGAAAATGTTCGAACGTGACGGTTGACCCTGGCACCAGGAGAGAAGTTCCTTGCATATTTCTCGACGCAAATACCGGTCCTTTCGAAAAATCTCCTCTTTTCGGTTCTATACTTCAATTATCTTTCCTTGTATCGTTGCAAAAGCTTTCTTATGTGCCTTTAAGTTCGGAAAGCAATGTTGTTTCTTTGCCATGTTTGCTTACTCCTCCTGCTCTTTGTTATCTCATGTCGTGATTTGGGCTATACACAATATGATCCATGTTCTTGTTTGAGTTGGTTTCTGATTCGTTTCAGTTGTTATCCTTTTCTCCTTCTACAGGTGAAGTTGGAAGCAATGGTCCGCTGGCTCTTTTTGATCATATACAATTCATCTTTCTTGGCATGCCTGTTGCTCTGTGCTGCCAGTACTCCTGTCAAATCAGCCTTGTTTTTGACTATGCTCGTACCCAGCAGGTCGGTTCCACGTGGGAGGTTGGCATACCCGTGTGCCGAAGCTCCGACCTGTTCCACATACTACCTCGTAAACTATGGCACCATGGCCAACTGGTGGGGTACTTGCTTGCTGCAAATTTACCAAAGGCTGTTCTACTGCCACAATGCACTGGCATGATGAATGTAGTTATTCACAATAATTCATCCTGCACTGCGGACGGTTTTTCTCCAACTTAGCCTTTCACCTTCATTCTTAGTTCTCACCATCGTTGTGTTTACTGGTTGTTTTTTTCTGCATGGGACGTTGGTGCACTCTTATGAGTATATAAGTAAATAATAAATAGGTAATACTAGAAAAATTACCAGTCTGCTTTTGTCCCGGAAATGCAAAATTTTAGGGTGACATTTTAATATGAAACGCACTGTATACCTTAAAGGCAGTGATTACGATAGATCAAAGAAGGGTTTATAGGAGACTGGTGGTGCTCAGTGGTACGCCAGTAGCGAAAAAAAAACGGGAAAATCCGTCAAGAAACGCAAAACGGGACCCCCTTTTTAGCCGTTAGTTTTCACTCATTTATTTATTTATTTGAAACGACGCATAAGGTAACAGGTAACAGCTCAGAAAGCAAACGTATGAACGAGAGTTCAGCGCAACGCGTTTGGTGACAGCATGCCAATCCATGCTCAGTCGAGTTGCTTCAGTTGTGCCGCTGCTGGCAACGCAGCTCGTCCAAATCACCAACTAAACTAGTGGGCGGATCGCTTTTGGGGCGGAGTGCTTTCGAAGTCCTGCTCAGCAACCAGCGCACCTTTCGTCGTGAAAGCGCTACACCTCGCTTCCCTGGCAGCCAAGTAACTGATTCGTGTGGTGTATGCTTCCGCGATGCGCTCCCACTCGTAATCGCTGTCTTTAAAGGTCGTTCCTTGCGCATCCGTCTGGAAGGAACGCAATGCACAAAAAAGAAGTAGCCAACTTTGAAAACTTCTTCTTACCTGTTTGATCTATAAACATCTAGCTTGCCTCCCAAAGTGTCATTTTCATGGGAAGCCTCGTTTACTGCACATCATCGCAGAAGAAAAGTTCGATGGTTCTCAAGGCCCATCCAACTCGCTCTTCTTTTTATCTTTTGAAATTGATGATGTCCTCTCTAACCAACCAAAACCGTACCTTTATTTGATTAAAAATTATTAAGTTCAACGAAGAAGAATACTTTCTGCAATCATTCGCGTTACTTGATATGGGTCACAATTCGATGATGGACGACGATCCTCTAGATAGCCCTGAAAACTGTGAAATCAAAGATGAATTCTCTCATGCTCCTCAAATATACCGGCCTTCTTAGCTAGGGCTACTCCTCTTGGTATGCGAACCGAAGCAGCGCGATTGGCCACGCCCCAGGTGAAAAACTCGGCCGAACTGGTCTCATGCTTCCCAGTTAACCTAAATTATTCACAATCAAATTGAGACAACTACCAATTTCGAATTTTGGAGAAAAGTGTAGGTTGAAGAGGACACGCCCTCACTAGTGCCGTGTAGCTCATTCTTTCGAAAACCATCTCTCTGAGTATCATGTAATTTTTAGTAATGGCACCTCTCTGACATGTAGGGGTGCGGGACTTTTGCTCCTCAGGGCTGGCACGCGGCGATTTGCGCGGCGAGATGCGCGGCGATCGGGTGGGAAATGCTTCGCAGGTTCTGCAGAGAATTCAACGCGTCAAAACGCGTGCGGATTGTGGATAAATAAACTAGATAAACTGCAGGATTCTGCGGCTTGAAAGGACTCTGCACGCGGAGATTTTACATGATGCAGCGGTGTCGGCGAGGAGATTTAGGCGCAAAGAGCTTGAAGGGAAGCTTCTTGGAAAAGTCACTACTATCATCAAAGCGAAATGAAACTAAAATTAGGAGTTTTCTGAGATAGAATTATTTAGTGCATCCCAACGACATAAGCGCCCCACGAACACCAAGCATCCCTGATCACTCTATAGATCAACTACGCCTAATTCTTCCGTTTCGTCCTACTAAAGTTCCTTACCATCATCGTTTTCCTCAAACCTCCACGCCTTACCATTAACAATTGAAGTCGCAGAACCTTGTGGATTTTATCCGCGATCTGCACACGTTCTGACGTGTTGAATTCCACTGCAGAAGCCCGCGAAGACTTGCCTCGTCCGGATCGCCGCGCAGCCCGCCGCGCGATTTGCCGCGTGCCAGCCCGGACGAGCCAAAAGTCCGTCGCCCGACATGTAGTATGGAGCAGCGATATCTAAGAACCATCACAATGTGGCGCGCATGCGTACCGCGGTGAAGGTCGTCTTGAGTGGTTAAGAGATAACGGAAAATTCTACTGCTGCTGCTGTGTGGGTCCTAAGATGGCGCCTGGACCGTATTTAAGAATCGCAAAGTCGTCCACGATCACAGAACCGGTTCGGTGACACCATATCTCGGCTCTTCACCGTAACTTAGTGTGTAGCTAAAATACGATTAAGTATGAATTGAATGTATCATCGATCCCGGATATATTTCACACGCCTAGCGCACTCTGAAGGAAAAAAAATGTTTAAAAAAGTTGAGTCAGAGCTTTTAAGATCTCGGCATATATTCGGCTCGTAATTGCGTCGAGATGTTGCAATATTCTTCACGGTAACACTTATGGTTAGTCGCGCGGCGGAAGTTACTATGTGCTTGCAAATGGCGCTGTTTAACGCGCGCGCGGTTTGCAGACTGAACCCTCGACAACTCCAGGTCTAGTCAACTAACCCATCCTCTTTCGTGTCGGTTAATTGGGCGAGGTTTTTCTGAGAGTAGAAAAGCACTGACTGTACATCGGCTAGCCTCGGCGGGCCATGATATAACAAAATCGCATTCAAGCCACTACGATTCTGAATGGAAGTGTCATGCATGCCTCATCCTAAAAAGGATTGGTTAACGCCAAGCCTCACTTTTTGTTCTAACATGAAGCCTTTTTTAATGGAAACGATTTCTTTGCTTCAAAACTGGTCAACTGGCTGTCTTCATAGCGTTCTTTGGAATTAAGAGATTTGGAGAACCGGAGTACCTGTGAAAAAGAATGGATACACAACAGGGGTGACGGCGGTGGGAACATTTTCGAGCTCACATCTAGTAGTTGGGACGGAATTCTCTTCTTCAGTGAATATTTAATCACAATTTGATATATTTTTGAAAATTCATTGTAGAAGGTGAGAATGTACACCAATGCAGCGGTTTTGCTCAGAAGTGTCATTTGCAGCTTGGCCATAACCTTGCTATGCTCAGTAGTGATGGGGAGCTGCGAGTGCTGACAATAAATGCTTGTCGCAAATTCGAGTAGCACACATTTTCGGTATGTTCCACTCTCTCCTACAACAACTTCGCCACAACTGAGCAGCCTCTCAACCAGGGTCAAGCGAGGCGTCGAGGAAAATTCGGAAATACGACCCCCCCCTCCCTCTGCCGAAGGCCGAAGTCCATGAAACAACCCTCTTTAAAAGCCGAACTATGAAAAAGTTGTTTAATTCTCCACCAAAACTGCTCATAAAAAAGCCTCTACCGTCCACAAAAAAACTCGTTTAAAAAGTATAAAAGTGAAAAAGTCAAAGAATGATCATTAATGACGAGTCCTGTCAAACGAGCAAACGAGAAACGGAGCAAAAAACGACAAACTAGTCACTAAAAATGGCATACTATGACAACATCTCTTCTTTATTTATTTCCTCCACAAGACTTACCAAATTCTAGTACTACACAGATTGGTTCTCAATTTACACGTCCCCTTTCGCTTGAAGGAAGCCTTGTAACCGCCTTCGCCAGCTGTGTGTTGACTGGACTTTGGCGTTGACCGTGGAGCAGCTTATTTACTATTGAAATTTGAACAAATATTCAAATGATTATAACTTTCTTCAAAGTTAACGAATTTTCAATCTGAAAGCAGATTTGGGAGTTTTGTGAAGAGCTTTTTCTAATCAGTACTGAAATTACAGGAAGTTATAAGAAATAACAAATTTAGATCAATTAACGAGGAAAATTCGAGATGAGCACGAGTTTTTACACTTTCCGAGCAATAACTTGCTTCATTTCCGTCAAATTCAAAAAGTTGATACGTCATACAAAACTAGAAGATTTTCTCTATCAAACGGTTGCTAAAGCAGCTTCATACGTCCAGTACTCAAAAAATGGCCACGTTGAGGATTTTTGCAAAATTAACGAGGAAAATTCGTGATGAAAGCGAGTTTTTACGCTTTCCAAAGCCATTACTCCATTCAAACTCATGCAATCTGGAAAGTTGATACGTCATACAAAACTAGAAGATTTTCTCTATCAAACGGTTGCTAAAGCAGCTTCATACGTCCAGTACTCAAAAA